TTTGTCCTGACAGGCCGGCGCCATCATCACCAACCGCGGTGGGCGCACCTGCCATGCTGCCATCATCGCCCGGGAGCTTGGCATCCCAGCCATCGTCGGGTGCGGAGATGCCACGGACAAGGTCAAGAAGGGCGACCCCGTCACTGTGTCCTGTGCTGAGGGCGACACTGGGTACATCTACAAGGGTGAGCTGAAGTTCGAGAAGAACGTTCAGGACCTGGGTGAGCTTCCCGAGGTAGGCTTGAAGATCATGATGAACGTTGGCAATCCGGAGACGGCCTTCAGCTTCGGCCAGCTGCCCAACGAGGGCATTGGCCTGGCGCGTCTCGAGTTCGTCATCAACAACGCCATCGGAGTGCACCCCAAGGCCCTCCTGAACTACGACACCCTGGATGCCGAGACCAAGGCCCTGGTCGATGAGCGCATGAGGGGCTACGGCAGCCCCAAGGAGTTCTACATCAACAAGATTGCTGAGGGTGTGGCCACCCTGGCTGCCTCCGTGTACCCCAAGCGCATCATTGTGCGCCTGTCCGACTTCAAGTCCAATGAGTACAAGAGCTTGATTGGAGGAGAGCAGTATGAGCCTGATGAGGAGAATCCCATGATTGGCTTCCGAGGCTGCGGGCGGTACACTGACCCCTTCTTTGAGGAGTGCTTCGCCATGGAGCTGGAGGCCGTGAAGATTGTGCGGGGTGAGATGGGCCTGAAGAATGTCGAGATCATGATCCCGTTCGTGCGCACCCTGGACATGGCCAAGGATGTCAACGAGGTCCTCGAGAAGAACGGCCTGAAGCGAGGTGAGGACGGGCTGAAGGTGAACATGATGGCCGAGCTGCCCAGCAACGTCTTCTTGGCCGAGGAGTTCCTGGAGTACTTCGATGGATTTTCCATCGGCAGCAACGACCTTACGCAGCTGACACTGGGCCTGGACCGTGACTCCGGCCTGGTTGCACAGTACTTCGACGAAAGAAATCCAGCAGTCATGAAGGGTCTGGAGACTCTGATCAAGGCCGCCAAAGCCAAGGGCAAGTACGTTGGCATCTGCGGCCAGGGCCCTTCGGACCACCCTGACCTCGCCAAGTGGCTCATGGACCAGGGCATCGACTCCGTGTCCTTGAACCCCGACTCCGTCATCCCGACCTGGCAGTTCTTGAGCAAGTGAGTGACGCACCCTTTCTTGTTTCGCCGGAGGACCTTTGAGTTCGGCACCGCAGTTTTCAGTTGCTATGCTCCACTCCCTCATGGGAGGGCAGCTCTGCCAGCTCTATATCCGTACCATACTTTTATCCAAGGCGGGGGAAGGATGGGCCAAGCTTGAGAGATCTGAGAGCCCGGGAGCATCCTCAGGCAAAGAGCAGGCAATTTCTTTTTTGATGGGTTCCATCTATCTGTCAGGCTTGCCCCTGCCTTGTGACGCGCCCCTTGCTTCTCAGAAGCAATTGATTGTGACTAAATCTTGACAACCTCTTCGAGGTTTTTTCGGTTGCGCAGCAAAGATGTCCTGCCTTCCTGCCTTGCCGTGCCTCCGCAACAGCGGCTGGCCTAGCGGAACTAGCATCTCGGAGTCTGTCCTCGCAGCTACAGAGTGCTCTGGCTAGAAATCACGCATTTCAAGGAAGGGCGATCCTCCCCCGTTGTCACGACTGAGTAGCAGAGTCGCAGGATCGGAATCACTACAAGGGCGAGCGCCATGGCGGCTGGGCTGCGTCCTGCCGCGCTGCCTGCATGGAGAAGGTCTCCTGGACGGCTTTCCTCTCGGAGTCTTATGACCTCCTCTGGAAGCTCTTCATTCGACCACCAAGGCACTGGGACAGAAGGAGGCTTCTGGGCTGAAAGTCAAGTGCCGATTTCACAGGTCCGAGTACCTCATCTCCGATCTTGGGCCCAGCAAGTTCCGGATCCACTCGCGAATCTACTGCCGCGAGGTTGGTTATGTCGTGTTGAGCTCAGAATGACTACCAATACATCTTGGTCTCTCTTCGCAGGACTTCCACCTGACCAACGGCCGTGGGATGCGGCTGGCCTGCAGCATCTTCGGTGACTTGGCCTCTTTATGCGACTCGACACCATGACTCCGCGACTTCAGCCTTGTGAGGATCTTATCCCAACAAGCAGCCAATGGCCTCGACACCGCCGGGGGCCGCAGCAGAGGGCTCTGCGGCTGTGGATGGATGTGGATGGGCCTCTCTTGGAATTCGAAGGTGCGTCATCTACCTGCACGGGAATTGTTCCTCGCGGGCAGAGGCTTTGGATGTTCTGCAGGTCGCCGGGGGGTTCGCCGAGGGGTCGCCGCTGGCCCTCAGCCCGTGCTATCTATGCCTTCTGCCGGCAGGTCGTGCTGGAGAAGAACTTCAGACTCTGTTGCATGGACCTCTCCGGGTGCGCGCCCATCGGGCGTTTTGAGGCTAAGGAGGCTTCTTTTCCGGCGCTCTGTTCACAGGTCCGGCCAAAGCGAGGGGGAGTTCATCTCTCTCGGCCATTTCGAGCAGTTGGACTTGCAGGCAGGGACGGCAGGGACGGCAGGGGTTGCAGGCACCTGCTTAGGGGCCGGCCTTTCGGTGTCCCAGTGTCCAGGTCTTGATTCAGCACCTCCGAAATCTCGGGGCCCGGCTGCTGGGCCTCTGGGGAAGGCACAGTTCTTTCTGCCTCCAGCGCCGGCATCCTCCCTCAACATATCCTTTTCAAGCCAGGTCCATGGGCGCCGTGACGGCGATCCTCCGCGCCGCGGAGGATTCCGGCATCAGCGCGCTGGTGCTGGACTCACCCTTCAGTGCCGAAGCTGCAAAAAGTGGACCAAGACCCCCGCGGACCCCAACAAAAAGTCCAAAGTAAGGCAACCTGCCCATGGTGGCCCAGGAGCTGGTCCAAAGCCGCTGGACTTTTTATGGACACCGAATCTACTCCAAAAAAAGACTCCACCCCTTTTTTTGTTGGTCGTTCTTTTCTTCAGGCCAGGTTGGCCTCCCCGACTTCCTGGTGCTTCTCGGCCACAGTTCATCCCGGAGCACGGAGCACCCGTGGGGCCGCGCTGAGCCTCTAGGTCATTGGCCTTGAGCCGTGTGCGCACGGAGATCCAGGCGGTAAACCCCAAAGGCCCTGAAGCTTGAGAGGAGTTCTATGTTGGCGCTAGGAACGCGCGCACTTCGACATCCAGGCAGAGCTCTTGCGGCCTCTTGCGGCCTCTCTAGCGGTTGCGGCGGTCGCTAGTTGGCGTCTTTCGGAGGAGCTCTTGCCCATCAGAAGTGCGCCGAGGGCGAGGCAGGAACTGGGGCAATTGTAGCCGAAGCGCAGCGGCGATGTCTTCTTTAGGTCCCCCGCGCTCTTCGCAGTCGGAAGCCGAGAAGCCTCGCCTCGAAAGAAGCTTCGCTGCGGAATCCGCAGGTCGCCGACGACGACGTGCGCCGTCGGCACATTTTTTTCCCGGTAGAGAGGGCCTTCACGCGCCGACGGCAGGACTTCGTGCTGCCGCATCACACGCACGACCTGCACGCGGTCTGGGGCACCGAAGCCAAGCCTCTGGCCTGAATGGGAAGAAGAAGCGGCTGGGCTCTCGCCTGCTTCACGGAGGCTGGTGACCTTCCAGGGTGGCCACAATGGACCCCGTGGCTTGGGCTTTGTCTATAGGACTTCTATAATTCTATAAGGACTTCTAGGACCCATATAAGAGTCTGGCTTTCGGAGGTCCGAAGTGGTACCTGGAGCAGGCTCGGCAACTTTCCGTCGACCTTCTTGAGTCGGGCGCGCCTTTCTAGGCCGCCGACTTCCTGGAGATGCGGCTTGTGGACACCTTGCCATGGGGCCCAGATAAGAGCACATGAAGGGGAGATGGAGACTCGTTTTTCAAGAAGAGGCCCACAGCCCCGAGCCCGGGCCCCGTCTTCAAGCGGCTGCCGCCCAAGGAGGAGCCCGGCAGAACCCTTGTGTGGACAACAACCCTTCGTGTGAACTCTGTGCACAGCGGCATATGGGCTCGAGCGCCATTCACTGTGTCGCCCCGATGCTGCCCAAGAAGATGCCCGGTGCACCCAAGATCATTTTTGGCTTGGCATGCATTGCAACGGTTGGCACTGCCAGCTATGCAGTCATGAGCAGAAGCATAGACAAGGACTGGGTCAGTGACTCCTCAGGTAAGCCCGCGGTATCCCCTGGCCTTCCCGTGGCCCATGCATGTTGTTCCACAGGAGCGGATGTACAGGGGTGTAAAGTTCGACGTCGAGCGGATGAAGCAAAAGTCCAAGGCCCCGCCCTAAAGTTCGCCAGGAGCGAGGGAATTCCAAAAAGAGTCGACTCAAATGCGTCGCAAGGAAGGCGTCGAAGAGGAGGGGCAGACGCAGAAGGCCACAGCTCTCGTTTCTTTCCTTACTTTCTCCTTTGCGTCCCCTGCATGTCAGGCCCGTGAGTAAGGGGCACTTTCCTGCCCGAAGCCCACGAGCACCCGGACGAGAGCTGAGAGGCCTAGTTCGTCTCACGAATTGACCCTGACTCCTCCACTCCCTGCAACGCGTGGGCCCCTTCCGACTCGGTCCCGACTGCTCCCGGGCCCGGCCTGCGAGCTGAGAGCCCGAGCTCAGACGATGCGAGCGCGTGCGCGCGTGCGCCTCCGACAGTGGACAGCGTGGAGAGGCAAAGCAGCAACAAAAAAAAGGAGTTGAGAGAAACTTTTTGCACTCGCTGCACTGCACTGCATTGCAAGTGAAGGAGCCGCTGCTGGCTCGAGACGCCGAGCCCGAGGCCTCCGCTGAAGCGGCCTCAGAGCTTCTCTCTCTCTCTGCGAATGCGCCGATGCCAGGAGCCGCCCCCTCCGCCTCCTCCGCCGGCCCGGAGGGAGGGTGGCATGGCAGAGGCACCTGGCACATGGCACATGATAGCAGAGGCAAAGCTGCTGCACACTTTAGGCATCGCCTGCGCGCACGCGCGCACGCGCGCGCGCACNNGGGGGGGGGGGGGGGGGGGAACTGCTTCACTTCAAAACTAAGCAAGTCGGTAGATGTGCCGCGATTCTCCGAAACGTCTTCAGAAGGCAAACAAGATGGTGTCCGGGTGATCTGGCTCTATGGCGACTCCCTCCTCGAAAGGAGACGAGGGTCATTGTCAGTGTTGGATGGTGTCTGCCCCGTGGCTTCTTGGCTACAACGGCATAAGAGTTTGATGGGATCTGAGGAAAATTGCATGGCTCACCTTGCGTGGAAGTCCGCTTCCTTTCATTCAAGTTTGGGGTTCTCTCTGCTGCTACAACTCGTAACTTAACACGAGTTGTGAATCCTCAGATCGAAGACGGATGTCGAGACACCTCCAGCAA